TTTGTCCTATTTGAGTGTCATATTTTCATTTAATTATAATAAATTAAGATGGGCTAAGAAGAACACATAAGTGACGAAGCAAGGGGTATATATATAATGATGCAAGTAATAGCAAGCCAATATAAAATAGGAGCAAGGACCTCTGGTAAGCAAGCAATGTCCCTCAAAGGAAAAGAGAGAGCATTAACATACCTCAAAAGAAGATAAATAAGAAGGGTACAACAAAAAATAGGAGAAGTCCTAAGATGATCCGGGGGAGGAGTCCTTTGATAAACAAAAATGATCATCACAATGGTCAACACAACTTAAAAGACTAGTCCCTAGATTAAAGAAGCCATATATCGCCTAAGGTGTTTTGTGCCATTCGTTGTTGTGAAACTAGACCCATCACTTGGTTAGCTTTATAATTTTTTTTTTGATGAACATCACTTTGTCAAACACAACACTGCCGTTGCCGGTCCCAAGCCCGGATGAGAAAAATGGAGGGTTGCGTTAGGTAGTCGACAGCCAGCGTAAAACTTGTCGAAAAAATCATGACATGAATCCTTTTGATCATTGTGTAAGTGCTAGGGCGTCCCCTGGAAGCGACACGCTGTATAACTTGAATACAATGAAAAGTGTGCAAGGGCCGCTACACCGGCGCCCGGGTGTAGTGTTAAATAAGCAAGGGTTCCCACATTACGGGCGAATGCGGGTAAAGAAGTTAGTCCATGAAACTAATGAAACTAATATTAGGATAGGATCTTGGAACATAGGCACTCTCAATGGTAAATTAATATATTATGATTCAGTTGATATTATGATTCATAGGAAAATTAATATCTTATATATTCAAGAAACTAAGTGGGTTGGAGAAAAGGCTAAGGAGATTGATAATTTAGGTCTAAAACTTTGATATTCCGGTAAGAGTCGCACTAGAAATGGTGTAGGTGTAATTATAGATAAGAGTTTAAAAGATAATGTTATAAAAATTAATAGAGTTGGTGATAGAATTATAGCCCTTAAGATTATCATTGATACTAAGATTTTTAATATTCTAAGTGTTTATGCTCCTCAAGTAGGTTTAGATACAGAGTCTAAAGATAAATTTTGGAATGACTTAGAAGACTTAATACAAATGATACCTCTTGAAGAAAGAATTATTATTGGAGGAGATTTAAATGGACATGTCGGTAGAGTGGTAGAAGATTTCAGAAATATTCATGGTGGCTACGGTTTTGGAGTAACTAATGAAGAAGGTAAAGTTATTTTAGATTTTGCTTTAGCGTTTGATTTTGTTATTACTAATACTTTATTCAAGAAAAGGGATGAACATCTTATTACTTATAAGAGTGGATCTAATAAAACACAAATTGATTATTTTCTTATGAGAAGAAGAGATCGTCGTGATTGTAATGATTGTAAAGTCATTCCAAGTGAAAATTTAAATACCCAACATCGTTTATTAGTTTTAGATTTTAAGATTAAGAGTTGTAAAATAAAAAATACTAGGACTCATCATTGCAGAATTAGATGGAGAAACTTAAAAGATACAAATAAAATTAATTTTATGAGTAAAATTCAAGATTTCAAAATTTGGGATATTCATGAAGAAGCAAATGTGATGTGGGATAAAGTAACAAACGCTATTAAACATGTAGCAAAAGATGTTCTTGGAGAATCAAAGGGAAAAATATTTACAAATAAAAATAGTTGGTGGTGGAATAATAATGTGCAAGAAAAGATAAAATATAAGAAGTTATGTTATAAAAATTGGTTAAAATGTAAAAGCT